GGAGGGCGGGCGGGCGCTGACCTGATTGCAAGGAAGGAATTCGGGTACGTTGGGTTTATCCGATTTAACAGGCTTTCACTGATTTAATTAAATACTTAAGCGCCGCATGCCAGATGCGGTCTCTCACCTGCTTCAGGGCTCGGGGCGTCCTTGCATCTCTGGATGAGCACTGCCCGGTCTGCCTGTGCCGCCTCACCCACGCGGGGCTCTGCCTACGGCCCCCAGCTGCCGCGGTCCCTCCCGGCGCTGCCGTGAGCACGGGTTCGGCAGACATATGCCGCCCTGATGCTGCACTCTGAGCCTCTTCCCCCTCTCTGCTGCTCGGCTCTCCAGGAGCTGACTTTGCCTCCTCCCTGCCCCAGTGCCTGTCTCACAGAGCCTTCCCTCTGCTCGGGCCGGTGTTCCCGTGGGGATGCTTTCCTGGCTGCGTGTGATGTCTCTGAAAGTGCTGCCGCTTGCAGCTGGGCTGCCTGGCTGGTGGCAGCTCCCATCTCCCTCGGGAGGAGAGGATGGGTTGTGGTGTTGACCCACACAGGGTGCCAGGGCCAGGTTGCCGGTACAGTGCAAATCACAGCTCCTTTGTGGCTCACACAGCCTCGCTTCTCAGCTGCGTTTGTGCTTGAGACGTCTGGTGCGCTGGGAAGCGGTCGGAGACCACGGGCATGTGTAGGGCTCCCACCTCCCTGCCTGCCTAACCTCTCCTCACGCCGCCTCTCCCACGGCCTAGATGTGGAGCAGATGGCTATTGACTGGCTCACGGGCAACTTCTACTTCGTCGATGACATCGATGACAGGATCTTTGTCTGCAACAAGAATGGAGTCACCTGCGTTACGCTGCTGGACCTGGAGCTGTACAACCCCAAGGGGATAGCGCTGGACCCAGCTATGGGGTAAGAGTCCTGCTTGGGGGTGGGAGGGCTCAGTGTTGCTGCCTGGACCTGCACCACTGATTTGAGGAGTGGTCCAGGAAGGTCCAGCTGCTGCACTCAAGCGGGGTAGCAGGGATGCTGCTGGAGAAGTGACTCACCCAGCAGCAAGGGCCCCTCTGGGCTTTAGCACTGAGTGAATTGCAGCATTTTCTATCCCTCGGCTGAGATCAGGACCATGCACTGTAAGGTAGTCACATCAGTAGCATTTTAAGCAGCCCACTGGTACCAGCCAGTTTCGGAGATGAAGGTTTGGTCCTTAGGGGTGGGTCAGAGCAGTCTGAGCCTCTGCTCAGCTGGCACTGCACTGGGGACAGGCGCCTGTGTGGGAGCAGAGCCAGACCGGTGCGGCACTGGGGAACATCAGCATCTAAGCCCGGTCTTCTTAATTAGAAGAATTATTGTTCAGAATTAGAAGAATCAATTGTTCTTTGTGACAGTTGGCACGTGTGTGGTCCTTCTGTCTGCGGCTGGTGGGGTCTCCTGTACCTGCGTGCTGTGTCCAGAAGACCCTCTCTGGAGGGGTGCTTCCCGCTCTGCCTGCCCTGAGTAGTGGCTTTTCTGGTGCTCGGTCCTGCAGGACAGACCTGGCCAGGCTCAGGACAAGCTGCTGCTTCCAGCACGTGGCTGTGTGGTTACAGCTTTGCACTGGCTTTTGGGAACGAAAACAGTCAGATACCTGTATGGATCGAGCAGCTCCGCTTGTGCCTATTTATAAGGGTGCTGCGGTCAGATGGCAACTCTCAGGCAGCTGCCTTTTGCAAAATCCTGTGCAAGCTGGGATACTGAGTCACTGGAGCAGCTCGGGGCACGCACGGCAGCTGCTGGACCCTGGGAGTGGGGAGCCGGCGTGGCCGAGGCCACGGTGGGCAGAGCAGAGCACGGCCCGGGCACTCGGGGCAGCAGTGCCAAGGCCCAGCTCTGTGCTGCGCCGTGCCTGGGAAGCGCCGTGCCAGCAGCGACTGCTGCAGGCGGGACGGCCCTCAGGCGCGCAGCACCTAGGCAGATCTATCAGGTTGTGTTTTAACGTGTCTGCTGGTGGAGGGCCCTGGATCTCTTCCTGGTGACACCAGCAAATCTTCATTGAAGCTTTTGTCCACCTGTCTCAGCATCTCTGCCCAGGTTGCTGTGGCTCCTCTGAGTTCCCTCTGCTGCCGTGCTTGGCAGCAGGGGCAGGCAGGTGCTGCCAGCCCTTGGCCCAGCTGGGCCATGCAGGCACTGAGAAGCTACCCTGGGCTGGCCCTGGCCGGGAGCTGCTGTCGTGGACCCCAGCCACCCTTGTGCCCAGGGGGGCAAGCCCATGTCTGCAGGCGTGAGCGTGCGTGTGTGTCTGTGTCCTCCCTCTCTCGGGGTTGAACGTGACATCCAGGCTCTGAGCTTCTGCGTTTGCCCTTCTCACACAGCAAAGTGTTCTTCACCGACTACGGGCAGATCCCCAAGGTGGAGCGTTGCGACATGGACGGGCAGAACCGCACCAAGCTGGTGGACAGCAAGATTGTCTTCCCCCATGGCATCACCTTGGACTTGGTGAACCGACTGGTGTACTGGGCTGATGCATACCTGGACTATATTGAGGTGGTGGACTACGAAGGCAAGAACAGACATACCATCATCCAGGGCATCTTGGTGAGTGGGGCCAGAGGCAGGTCGGGGTCTGGGTGGCCTTATGGCAGCGTGCTAGAGGCATGTCTGAGCTTGGCCTGCTGTGGGGCACTGGTCCACAGGCTTGACTTTGCCAGTCCAGCAAAGAAAAGGCATGAGCTGCTGAACACCATCTGGTCCTGCAGCACCCACCTGCCAAGCCCAATCTCATGCCCTAAATGAGGTGGGGGTGAGAGTCATAGAGAGGGATCAGGGGCAGGGATCGGGGACTTTGCACACCTTCGAGCCGGGGTTCTCATGTCTCTTCCTGAATTCTTCATGGATACTTGCGCGGTGCCTTCCAGATTGAACACCTCTATGGGCTAACCGTCTTTGAGAACTATCTCTACGCCACCAACTCTGACAATGCCAACGCCCAGCAGAAAACCAGCGTCATCCGGGTCAACCGCTTCAACAGCACCGAGTACCAGGTGGTGACACGGGTGGACAAGGGAGGAGCACTGCACATCTACCACCAACGGCGTCAGCCCACAGGTGGGACCCTAGCATGGGAAAAGCAGCTTCTTGGACCCCAGAGGCTGGGTGGCGATGTGGACAGGCTGCACCTCCTAAATTCTCGTTCCTAATGGGGCCAGACACCCAGGACGGGTTGACTTGCCCAGGAGCCTCTGCCAGTAGCACCCTGTGGCCCTAAGGAGCCGTGCTCAGCCTGGGGGCCCTACCCAGTTGCCCCCAGCTCCCGCGCTCCCTGCAAGCTCTGTGTGCCTGGACAGGGGGGCAGCAGCAGAGCGGGGGGCACTGCTGGAGCTTGCCCAGGGCTGCCGAGTGCCGGGTGGGCCGAAAAGCACGAGCCCAGGGACAGGGATGGAGAAGCTGCCTGACTTGCCCTGAGTCCGCAGGGACTCCCGGAGCTGCTGTCCCATTGACAGCACTCCTTGGTCCGGGCCTTGAGTGGGATCCCTGCTCCTCAGGCAGCCAAGGGTGGCCTCTCGCCGGGCTGCCGAACACCCCAGGGTGCCCCAGCCCCTGCTATCGCTCTGTCTCCTCCTGCAAGAGACATGGCAACCGTCCCTTGTGAACTGGGTGGCTGTGCCACGTGGTTAATCGGTCGTGTCTCACTGGAGAGCGCAGAGACATTGGAGCAGATACGGCATCTTTAAATATTAATGGCTCCCTTTTGCGGTGCCCACACACTGTTGGTCCTCACTGCTGGTGTGTTCACCCTTAAACCAGGGCCACGTGCTCCCAGGCACCAAGGGATTTCAAGGGAGTTGAAAGGCTTCAGAGCTGCACTGTCCCCTCCCCGCATCTGTACCTGTCTGCCTGCTCCACCCCCAGCACCTTCCTGCCGTTAATCAATTTACTCGTTCAAAATTCTCTTAGAATCTGCAGCCTGCTTGGCATTTTCCAGAATATAAAACGAATCGGGAGATTTCCGAGCGGTGAAGGCGTGTGGTTAAGGGGGCTCTCCGGGCCAGTGCTGGCTGTCCCTGCGCCAGGGCTCAT